AAACTACACATACAAAAGTGTGAAATGCTGAATGGTATATTTTGAAGACCAAATGCATAACATTACAAGATGATTACAATTTGTAAAACTGTACAGAAAGCAGTCTCTTTAAAGCAGGTTGTCATCAGCATGAACAAAAATACAATTTAAAAAAAGGCAACAAAATTCAACCCTGCATATAAATGTCACTAAAGAAAAAACTACATATGCAAATCTTGCATAAAATGTTGCCAGAGAACTTAAAAAATAAATAAAAAAATCAATAGAAAATGGATTTTTTAACCAGTGGAACCTGCAACAAATAATGTATACTCACTCATCTGTAGTGCTTTTGTTAGATTGATAAAGAGAAAAAAAAGGTCAGATAAGGGTCAGGGAATTCACCATTCACTATGTAAAGCTCCTGACAAAAAATATACGATTATGAAACTCTGATACAGGATGTTAAATAATATAGAAATAGTAGATGACATGGTTATGTATTTATATTGTAGATCTTTTTGTCGCTGGCAGTGTTGCTCCGACTTGTTCATTCTAGAAGCCTGTTTTTCAAAGCAAGTGCTTTGTTGGAAAGTGTGTTTCCATCCAGTTCCATGAAAATGTTCTGGATTACCTCAAAGGTGTAGCGGAGCTCAGCAGGGTAGCTTAGGTTCAGGGCATATATCAGCCTAAACAGCATAGCGACAGCTAATGCTACATTATCAAGATCCTTCAAAACCTTGATCCCCTCAAGGATAATGCCAATATCATCCGTTTCCTCATTTGAAACATGTTCTTTTACAACATAAATTCCAATAGTAGTGTCCTCAATGGCCTCGTCCAAGGCTCCTCCATCCATGCACTGTAGAAGAGACAAAATACATGATTGAGACCTAATATCCAATCCTGGGTGAGTAATGAGCAGTGATTTATTTAACATTGCTTGTATTGAGAAATTCCCACCAGAAAAGTCATGTTCAAAATTCATTACTAGCAAATACCAAGGAACATTTTAATAAGAAAATGGTGGAAAATGAGAAAAAAAGTCCCCTTGTACATACCACATATTCTCGCACAAGGCTTTCAGGATCTTCACCCATATAAATACAGACCCCTTTAATGATGCACTCTCGTCCAGCATCTACATCATCACACTGAAAGGAAAGAATTTGTTTTTAAGTAGAATCACATAAGAAAGACAGTTAACAACAGTTACACATATACAGTGTTTCTGCTTTTAAGTGTTTGTGTTGTCACTAATTTATTAGCTCAAATCATGTTAAAGCAGAAGCATAACCTTTTGGGTTTGAAGAACTATATTTTGAGAAGCACATCATAATATGTCCAAGCTTAATTTTGCATTTGTGTTTTTGTAGTTGTCAATTTTGTACTTGAAATGTCTAATCTGACTGAAGTGGTTCATTTACATTCACTTCTAAAGGTATTTACAAGCAGTTTTAATGTAAAGATTGAGTTCTATAACCGAAACTAGACTAAACCTGAAACAAAAACATGCTAATAATATCCAATAAAAAGTCAAAATAGAGATTTCTTTTCCCAGTATTCTCAACAACTTACCTTAGCCATTTGTTCAACAACC